TGTGTCTTTTTCGATTTCAGAGCTTAGGTGAGACACTTTTGCGGACACAGAGGTGAAAAGAAAAGGTGGAGGCCTCTAAAACCCCACGGCTGAGGAGGTAGTCCAAGTGGACCAGGTGTGCGCAAGCATCCTCCAGTTGGTGAGGTGAGATGGCTATCTGTGGAAAAGGTCTGGGATCTGTGACACCAGTCTGAGCTATCCCAACCCTTACTGTGGACGAGGGCCAACACGTGACTGTGCTGGTGCTCACCTGCAAAAGATACTGTAGTGGACTCCCTAGGAGCAGGGGAAGGCTCATCATCAGGCCAAAGCCCTATTCTTTCATTAAAGGCCTCAAAGATTATTGCATCATTTATGAATGCTGGAGAACTGTCAGACTTGCTGAGGGGATCAAAAAGCCCCCATGCCACAACAGTAAGAGGCCCGCGTACCGAGAAAAAAAAAAAAAGCCCCCATGGCTCAGAGGCCCTCTTAGTGGATTGCATGAACATGTCTTCTTGGACCTGGTTTCAGTCCCTAAATTCTGAAGTCTTTTTTTTTGGGGGGGGGTATAATTTGAATATTTGCCTCAGATTAGCTACTTGCATTTTCTCTCCAGAAACAGACTTTTCTACAGCCTGAGTTGTGATGGAGTCATTGGGTTTCTTATGAATACCTATTTGATTTTTGTAGGACCTGTTCTCTGAAATTATGCCTCATCAGTTTTCTAGTACATTTTCACCTCCTCCTTTTACTCTTCCCATTTTTTTTTTCCTGGAATCAGCTTCTTTTGACAAACTGCTCCTTCCTTTACTATGGTCGCCCATTCATAATCTGGCCCTATTCCAAGCATCCCCTTAATTTAACTGGTGATTTTAAAAATAATCTTCTGCTTCACCAGTAATGAGTGCATTTATATCTTCCTCTTTATGGAGACTCCAAAAACAAAATGGTAAGAATTATTAATCCCAGAACACATTAAAGAATCTGTTCCACAGCCTCAGGCAGGGTAGCCATTTCAGCTACCATCCAGCCAGTCGGCTCAGGGGCTCTGACTGAACACTGTGCATTGCCTCGGCGTCTTGAGGGTCACCTTCAGAAGCCTTGGGGCTTCTCAGTCTAAGTGATAGTCACGTAAGCAACCTCAGTCAACCTGCTAATCCCTCCCTAAACCCTGCCCTCGGAGCCGCCTTTATCGGTCTCCGATGTTCTCAGTTCCCTCTTTCTTCACTCTCGTCCGGAAATGACTCTCATTTTCTTCTGTCACCCTGGTCTTCAATCCGGGCGTCCTTTGGGCTCACTGTTTGGGGGACTCTCCCAGTCAGTATCCTTAGAGGTTCAGCCGTGCCCCACAATTCCACCCCTCCCCCGACCAGGGCTCGCCCACGTCCCACCCCTCCCCTTTCCGCAGCGCTTCCGGTCCTCAGGCCCTGGCCCCGCCCTACTCCTGGCCGGCCAATCCCTGGCTCCGCTCTGGGAGCGTCACAATGCGCCCTCTCGGCCCCGCCCACAGACGACCGCCTCAGAGCCCCCGCCCCGCCGTGGTCTTTGCGTCTTTCCGGCTCCGTCTTGGAAGTGCGACTACGCCGCGTCTTCCTGAAGAAAAAGGTAGGGTTCTGCAGGGAAACCGGCCCGCGGTTACGCTGGCAGCCGGGAGCGGGCCGAGGGCGCGGGTTCCTGGGGCTGCTATTCCCGGGTGCTTGGGCGCAGGGCCGAGGGAGGGCAGGGCACTCCGAGAGCCGAAGGTCTTCCGGAAGCGCCGCGTGCGCACGACGGACGGGAGTTGTGGCCTCGGGCCAGCCGCGCGCCTGACCCAACCTCTCCGGGGGGCCCTCTCCCGGGGCGCGCTGCCAGGGGTTTCCATAGTGATGGTAAACAAGCCTCAACTGCCTCAGCTACAACTGCCAAGTCCCCCGCGTTCCACCCTCCTATAGGTGCTCAGAGGGACGACCGAGGTGCCGGATGTGAAGAAAAGCGGGGGCGTGGAGACTTGGAGCCCGAGGTGAGGGGTGGGACGGGCGGCGTGTCCGAGGCCCGCATACCGGGGAGCGGCCGGGGAATGGGGCCCTTACCATGGAGGACCGAGGGGTTGAGATTTGGGTGTCAGGGGAGGCGGGATCGGAGGTGAAGGCCCGCACACCCGGGACCGATTAGGGACTGGGCCTACTGGGGGTTGGGGACTGCGGGGCTGAGATTTGGGGTCGGAGGAGGTGGGATCTGAGGTCAGGGGCCATACACCCGGGGACCGACTGAGTACTGAACGCGGGGACCCGGCCCACTGAGGGGGGGGACCGCGGGGCTAAGCTTTGGGCTTAGGGGAGGTGGGTCTGAGGTCGAGGGCCTTACGTTCGGGGACTGGACCGCGGGGCTGAGATTTGGGGTCGGGGAGGCAGAGTCCGAAGCGACGAAGGGAAGAAGAGCCTCGTGCGGACTCCTGAGGGAGCAGAGCCGAGCGCCCCTGCCAGGAGTAGGGTGAGAAAACCAGGCGACCGTGCGAGGGGGTTCATTTTAAAATGAAAGCGGTACTTGCACGTGGCTGAACGCGTCCGCGAGTTGCACAAGACTGGTTGGGTACCTGACTCCTCCCCCCTCCCACGTTCCCGCTCGCCGAGCCTCCACTTTGGAGCTTTGCGGCCTTTTCTTTCTCTCCGTGCGGCGTGTGTGCCCTGAGCCCTTGTCTGCATTTGTCTCCTGCTCTCAGAGGTATCGTGTCTGTATTTTGGCTGAAACTCTTTGGTTCTCGTTGTCTTTGCCTGATGACCACACTTCTGCTAAGCGAACTTAATTCGGCCGTTTCTTTTTCCTTGTCCTGTGCTGCTTTTATCTTTGAATGTACTTTTGCTGATTCTTGACTGCGCCCAAGAAACTTCTGGACGCTGCCGGCGCTCGCGCCGCGCCTCCGCCGCCCTGTCCCCGCGTGGCTCACGGAAGGCGGTGCCGGGCGGCCTACGGGAGGCTGCGCGAGTCTCGGGGACCCGACCGGCCCTGGGCCCCGGTCTTTTACGGAATCGCTTGGGGGTTGCAGCCCCTCCCCGTTAATCTGTACCTTAAAGGGTCTCTCGGAGGACCCCCACGGGTTCCCGCCAGACAACCCCAGGCGAGCCCCCCCCCCCCCCGACCCCTTCCCCGGCCACCGGCGAGCCCCGCGCGTTCCGCGGGACGCCCTTCCGGCAGTTTTTTTCCCCGAGGCCTTGACGAGCCAGCATGCTTCACAAGTGTTCTCGAGGTTCCGGGGGGCCCACGAGCGGCCGCTTCCCGGAACCGCCTGGGTCGGGCGGCGGTGGAGGTGGGGGAGGGGCCCCGGGCGGCAGACGTTAGGGGCGGACCTCGGCTGGTCTGACCCTCGTGGAACCCGGAGAGTGGAAGGCTGCAAATAATTTTTTAGTGAAGGACATAATCGAAACTATCGATCTTAATATAATTCTCACTCTTACTTTTAGTCACGTTTTTAAAAGTTAACTATTTGTTTCTGAATTTCTAGTAAGAATGAAAATACCTCGAGTTCTCCGGTTAGACAAAAATGTCAGGGTCTGTCAGTGAAAAGTAATGTTTTCAGTGCTAATTTTTAGACAGGATTTCGTCATTTTCAAGTGAGTAAATTTCTGCTTTTTTTTTTTTTTCTGCTCTTAATGAACATTGAGAGAGACTGCTTTATAACTGGTGTTAAGCAGGTCCAGCCTTTCCCTTTGGGGATCTCATCTTCTTATATGCATTTCTGTAAATTAATTAGGTTTATGATTTCCATATTATGGTCTCCTTTTTATTTTTAGTTTTGTCTTTTAGTAACATTCTTTTTGTAGTATTTGCTTTTTGTTTTTGTTTTAACTGGCAGGTGGCTGGTTTTCACTTGAGTATTGCTACAAGGCTCCTTTAAACATAAAATAACTCGAATAAAAATGTGAATTGATTTAAGGGAAAGAATTGATTAGGAGGAGAGTTAGTTCTTGAATATGGCCCAAACTGAGGGAGAGTGGAGACACGTGGTGCGTGTCCTTTGGAGTAGGTGCCTGAAGGGGGTACAGAAGTGGGAGGGGGCCTCCTTCCACAGAGGTGACTTTCCCACCAACCTGCCCTCTCCAGTCTGAGCTCTGGCTCTCAGGCTCTTTGTAGAAACACATTAATTGACCCGTACTGGATCCACACACAGAGCTAGGTGCTTGACCACATTTTCTAATCACGTGCTCGAGACCAGTGTACAAGGAGGTATTACTGTATTCCCATCATGCAGATGTGTCCTCGGAACACAGTTGGGACTGGAACTCAGATCTACCTGACAGGGACAGTCCTCTCTGCCAGGGCCGCTGCCCCTAATTAGTTGCCCTGAGCAAAGATTCTTGTGGAAGACAAAAGACTGGGCAAAGGGAGAACCAGGTTCATCTAAGACCAGCCTGGCTTATTTTCACTATTTGTTTGTATTTCTAAGGACTTTTAAAATATAACCACAATACCATTATGACAACTAAAGAAATAATAATTCCTTGATATCATCAAATACCCAGTGTTCAAATGTACCCGATTGTGTAGTAAATATTTTTATATAGCTGGTTGGTTTGATTTGGGATCCGAACAAGGTCATTATACGTTTAGTAGATATATATCTCTTAAGTTATGTTTTAAGACAGAGCAGCACTGTCCAAAAGAAATATAATGCAAGCCACATAATTTTACATTTTCTGATAAAAAGAAACAAAGTTCACTTTAGTAATTTAGTTTAACATGTTATATATCTAAAATAGACCCAAAATAATCACTTCATCATGTAATAAGTTTTTGTAATTTATTATTTTTTTTAATTTTTGGCTGTGTTGGGTCTTCGTTGCTGTGTGCAGGCTTTCTCTAGTTGCGGTGAGTGGGGGCTACTCTTCGTTGTGGTGCTCGGGCTTCTCATCCTGGTGGCTTCTCTTGTTGAGGAGCGCGGGCTCAGTAGTTGCGGCGCACAGGCTTAGTTGCTCTGTGGCATGTGGGATCTTCCCGGACCAGGGCTCGAACCCGTGTCCCCTGCATTGGCAGGCAGATTCTTAACCACTGTGCCCGCCACCAGGGCAGTCCCCCAATAAATTTTTTTTTCTCCCGTAAATTTTTATATTATATTTTTCATGCTTTTTTTTTTGAACAAAGCTTTCAAAATCCAGTGTATGCTTATTTTATAGCACATCTCAACTTGTACCAGCCACATGTCAAGTATGACAAGAGGCTACCTTATTAGACAGTGACGATCTAAAGGTTCTTTATTCTTAAAAGTTTTTTCTTTGAACAAACCAGGTTGTGTGTCACGTAGGTTTCCTTCCCCACACTCTGGGTTTTTCTGACTGCATTCCCATGGTGGTGTTTGAATCTCTGTCTTCTGCATTTCCTGTAAAATGGTAGTTATCCTCTACAGGCTATCCTGATTCCGTTGAGATTTTATTTTGAAATACTGCATGGGAGGTGCTGTGTACTCCTGCCAGAGGCACGTATTGGTTGGTGTTCCTTCTTTGTGATGTTAGCAGCTGTTGATGTTCGTTCTCTGAATGCATTGTTTTGTTGATTGTTTCCAGATCAGTGATATTTTAATTCAATATTCCTTCTCAGTTATTAGCAGGTGTACTTCTGTAGAGAGGAAATTTTCTTTGTTAATCATTTGATTACTCTAAGATGTACCTTATAAAAGGCAGGTTAAGTTTTTGATTCCTTTTTTATATTTAGTATCCATATCCAGCATAATGAATTGAATCCTTAGACACTAATTTTTCTGGTATCATTATGAAGTCATGGATTTTAACATATAGGATGTGCTTTAATCCACTGTAGCTTTTATTCTCTTTGATGCTCCAATTATTCAATTTTTGGCCAATGGGAGCCTTTCAGATTGGTTCCTTTCTTGACACAATTTCAGTGGTCTTTGGCTTCCTTGGTTTAAGGTGTAATACTTCATTAGGTGGATCTGTCAAAGTTTATTCAACTGGATCTCTAGTGATGGGCAATTGGGTTGTGCTGCAATGGTAGCCTCTGCAGGCGTCTTTTCACTTTCTTGGTCATAGGGGTTGAACCATTTAATATTTCCACAAACAGTATCTGAGAGTGTCTGCTGATCTACAGCCTCTCCAAGCAGGTTTGTTGTCAAACTTTTGTATTTTTGCCAGTGTGATAGGTATTTCAAATGTTGTTTCATTTAAAATTCTAATTTATCTTACATGGTGATGTTGAGCATCTTTTCGTGTTTAAAGGCATTTCTTTTTCCGTCAAGTGTCCATACCTCTAGCCCATTTTCTTTTTTGGATTGTTGGACTTTTTGTTTCTCTCTTTAGAAGCTCTCTCTGTACCTTAAGGGTATTAACACTTTTGGGAAATAAATTGCAAATGTCTTTCCCATTTTATCATTGGTATTTTGCTTAGCTTATGGTATTTTTAGCCATGCATAAGAAGTTTAGGTTGTTTTGTTTATGTGTGTGTATTTGTGTATTTTTCTATATTATGGGGTTTGAGTCATGGTCAGGAAAGTTTTCCCTACTGCCAGTGTAAAGACAATTTATCCACGTCTATTTTTCTTGTTATTTAGGGTATTTCTTAGAAACATGAAAAATTCTTAGCTAACCCATATTTTACCTTCATCAATACGTTAATGTGACAGTATCAGTGATTGACTTTGAAATGATGAATTAAAGTTGCATTCCTGGAATAAATCCAACTTGGTCATGTTGTATTAAATAGCTTTGTGTATTGCTGGATTTGGTTGGCTAATGTTTATTTAGGAATTTTTCATGTGAGTTCATGAATGAAATTAGCCTGTGAAACTTGATAAACTAATTCTAAAACTCTTGGAAAATCAATTCCAAGTTTATTGTAGATCAAAATGTTAAAAAAAACATCGATGGAAACAACAGAGCTTTAAGTTTAAAAAAAATATCCATATGGCCTTGGGCTAGGAAAAAGGTCTCTTAAACAGGACACAAAAAGCGATAATCATTTAAGGGGAAAAAATGACAAGAATGAAGAAAATTCTAAACTATTATGTTTCCCTTACAGTATGCCTTTTACAAAAATCCTCATATAGTATAAATATTTTACAAATTCCTACCACACTCTCTCCTTTTAAGTTTATCTACATGCAAAGATGGTCCATCATTGACATCTCCATTCTTCATCTTCCCCTAATTGAGGTCTCTTCTGCTTTACATGAATATTTGGTTAGAATAGTGCTGTCCACAATAAGCCTAGAAGACCGGCCACAGCCCACAATTTAAAATTATAATTACTTTGCTTTGAGAAAATCAGCTTCATAGTACTGGTTTTAAATCTTTTTTAAGTTTGTTTGTTTTCCATTTTAACCATCTACTTTTATAGATTCTTTTTCAGAAGTTTAAAATTTTGTACATATGTACATGTACATACCTGTTTAGTTTGGGTTCATTTCTATAGTATTTTGTAAGAATTAAAATAAACATTTGATCACCCAGTTTTAAAAAAATAGTGCTGTCCAATAGAATTATGATGTGAATGATTTTTAAAATTTTTAAATGATGTAATTCACATACCATACAGTTCACCTTTTTAAAGGGTACAGTTCAGAGGTGCTTTTTTTTTTTTTTTTGTAAAAAAGTTGTAAAAACCATCCCCACTATTTAATTTCAGTATATTTTCTTTCTTTAATTAATTAAATTGAAGTATAGTTGATTTACAATATGTATTAGTTTCAGGTGTACAGCACAGTGACTCGGTTATACGTATGTGTATTCTTTCTCAGATTCTTTTCCCTTAGAGGATATTACAAAATATTGAGTATAGTTCCCTGTGCTATACAGTAGGTCCCTGTTGGTTATCTATTTTATATATAGGAGTGTGTATATGTTAATTCCAACTTGCTAATTTACACCCCCCCCCCTTTGGTAACCATAAGTTTGTTTTCTATGTCTGTGAGTCTCTTTCTGCTTTGTAAATAAGTTATTTGTTTTTGTTTTGTTTTTAGATTCCACATATAAGGGATATCATATTTGTCTTTCTTGTCTGGCTTACTTCACTTAGTGAGATAATATCTAGGTCTATCCATGTGGCTGCAGATGGCCCAGTACCTTTTCTTATGTTGAAACACCCTTAAGCATTCCTAGGATAAATCCCACTTGGTCACGGTGTATAATCCTTTTTACAGGTTGCTGGATTCAGTTTGTTAGTATTTTGTTGGGATTTTGTGTCTGTACTCATAAGGGGTTATCTTGCAATGTCTGTCTGGTTTTGATATCTACAAGTGTATTAGTTTGCTAGGGATACCATAACAAAGTCCTACAGACTTGGTTACTTAAACCATTTATTGTTTCATAGTTCTGGAGGCCAGAAGTCCTACATCAAGGTGTCAGCAGGTTTGGTTCCCTCTAAGAAGCTTGAGGAAGAGGATATGTTCCAGACCTCTCTCTCTGGTTTATAGATGGCTGTCTTCCCTCTGCTTATCTGTGTCCAAATTTCCCCTTCTTTGTGTTGGAATACAGCCCATCTTAATTATGTCATTTTTAACTTAATTACCTCTGTAAAGACTATATCCAAACCTGGTCACATTCTGAGGTACTGGGGGTTAGGACTTTAACATGTGAATTTTGGGGACACAATATTCAGCCCATAACGGGGTAATTAATACTGGCCTTGTATATAGAATGCGTTGGAAAATATTTTAATAAAGTATATTTTAATATATATTTTGATTGGTTCAACACATCCAAAGTATCACTTCAATATGTAATCAGTATTTTGAAGTTGAGGTTTTAGGTTCTTGTTTTTGATGTTCGCAATTCATTTTAATTTTTTAAATTTAAATTAAATTTAATTATTATTATTAATATTTTTTTGGCTGCTCCAAGAGGCTTGTGGGATGTTAGTTCCCCCACCAGGGATCGAACCCATGCCCTTGGCAGTGAGAGCGCAGAGCCCTAACCACTGGACTGCCAGGGAATCCCCTGCAATTCACTTTATATGTACTAAACTTTATCACTTAGGACACATCTCAGTTTGTACTTGGCACATTTTAAGTGCTCAGTAGCAGTGTGTGGCTATTGGTACCACATTTTTATCCTTTGTACCTAACTTGTTCTTTTTCCAAAGCAGTTTTTCTCTGTACTTTAAATTTTTTTTTACCATCGTATGCCTGGGTTGTGTGTTTTTAAAGTATCTGTTGGGAACTACACCACTGAGTTTATCTTAAGCCAGGAAAGTTTCCTTCCATTCTTTATCTGTTCTCGCCTCCATTTTGTCTTTTTCTCCTTCTGGAATTCCTATCATTCACATGTTGTTTCTCCTGTCTCATGTTATCTCTTACTCCTTTGAATTTCATCTTTTTCCCCTCGTTGTTTCTGGGTTTTTTTCTTTGTTTTGAGCTATTTCTTCCACTTGGTTTTCCAAGCCACTACCCTTTCTTTCAATTCATTCTACCCTTTCTTTCAATTCATTACTAACTTTATAAATTCAAAACTCAATTTTTAGCACTGGAAAGTTTTTTATTCTGTAATCAAGTATCTGAGAGTGCTTGTTATTTTTTCCGTTAAAATATTTACAGTTTTGTACAGTACTTCTTGTTCCCAGAAAACTGTCTGCTGTTCTAAGCCGTTGTCCGATTTGTGGTATTCTGGTGCTGGAACCCCTCTCAAGTACATTGTCATGTTCCTTTCCTCCTCTTGGCTCTGTTCTCTACCCGCCCCGCCCCTCCCCAACCTCCCGGGGGCAGTGTGCTACGGTCCCCTGAGCAGCAAATATGGAGCACAAGGAGCTACAGCTGCCTCCGCTCCTATGGCAGCTGCAGGGGACCTGACAAGATGTCAGCTCTCCACTAAGACCCAAGTGGAAGCTCTAGGCCTCCTGAAGGGGCTGTGGGCATTCATTAATACAGATGACGAAATATTTCCCTCAGCTGGGGAGAACAGATTTTTATCTTTAACACTGGAGGTTTCTTTTTCTTTCTTTTTTCTTAAAAATTAATTATTTTATTCATTTATTTTGGCTGCACCAGGCCTTAGTTGCAGCATGCAGGATTTTTAGTTGCGGCATGCAGACTTAGTTGCGGCATGCATGTGGGATCTAGTTCTCCGACCAGGGATCGAACCCCGGCCCCCTGCACTTGGATGTGCAGAGTCCTACCCACTGAACCACCAGGGAAGTCCCTGGAGGTTGCTTTTTATGAACACCCCACCTGATACTTTTTTTTCTGTTGTAACTTTAGATCTTGATTCTTGAGTCACTAATGCAGTCAATAATACAGAGCAATGATTGCTTGTTCTATGGTGGCTAATAATTTGTCCCGTGTTAATTTCAGTACAAGCATTATAGACATAATTTACCTAACATTACACTATTTTTGCTTTTTAGTTAACACACCTTTTGAGAAATGAACACTGAGGAAAATAGTGTAATATTACCCCAGACTTAGCTACAGTAAGCTAAAGAGCCTAATAGCTAAAAGATAATGGAAAACAGCTTTCCTGTTGCTTACAAATTATATTTTCTTTGATGGATAAAAATGTAGTAATAGCAACGAACATTTAAAATGTCATTTATTTTAATCACCCCACCTATAGCTTCTCTTTTTTTTAATTGAAGTTGACTTACAATGTTGTGTTAGTTTCTGGTGTACAGCAAAGTGATTCATTTATGTATATATATATTTTTTTCATATTCCTTTCCATTTATGGTTTATTACAGGATATTGAATATAGTTCCCTGTGCTATACAGTAGGACCTTGTTTGTTTATTTTATATATAGTACTTTGTATCTTAAAGCTTCTCTTTTCTTTAATAGCCTTTAGGTAGTTTTATGTGTTGAACTTGGTATGTTGTACAAATTAGGTCAGAGTTCTCACACTTGAGAGGCATGAGCTGCTTGAAAATTTAGGTACAGTTGTGTGTGTGTGTGTGGGTATACTTTTAAAAAAAGTTGATCCAGACCTACATCATATTCTCAGGTGGAGTCCCTGACAACAAAAAAATGTTTAAGAACCACTGAATTGGGACTTTATAAAATTGCCGGGTTGGAAGAGTCTTGAGGTTTCTAATGCAGTTTCCAATAGAACAGGAAAACATCCATAACAAGTAGGAATCTGGGCTCTGCTCATATACTGTCCCATGACTGGGAATTGCTTCTTCCCCAGACCCCATGTGTGCTCCTCAAGTGGAAAAAAGACAGTAGCAGAAACGATATCTAAAATTCTCTTTTTTGAATTTAGTAAGAACTGAATATAAAGATTAAAAGGATTCACCACAAAATAAAAATATTTTTACAAAGCAACTAACACCAAAACATATCCCGATAAGCGGCTGCATTTTAAAAACGTAAATAATTTGAACAAGTATCTGGGGGAAATAAGTAGGTAATGTACAAAGGAAAAATAGAATAATATGGTCTTCTAATTTCTACTTTTTAAACCTTAGCTTTTTACCAGGGGGAGAAAGTTTAACATTTCCACCCCTCTTCATGCTTCTGATCTGTTTAAATGTCACTTCCTCAGAACTCCAATGTGAGTTAATCCCTGTTTTCTTAATTTGAGTTTTCAGAATTTGTCATACATTTGTTTGTTTATTGATTTCCTAGTCCACTGTTCTGTGGACTTAGCACAGTACCTGCATCTTGTAAGTGCACAATATTTCTGGGTTAATGAATGACTTGAAATTGGGTAAATTTTATCTACTGCACATCACTCAAATCCTTTCACATGCTTCAGTTTCCACCACAATGTTTTTGTTGCAGGGTACGTACCATCAGTTCTTCCTAAACTTGTCTCACTTCTTCCCATCTCGTCTCCATGCATCTGTTCCCATCATTCATTTTCCAGAGAGCAGCTAGACTGTTGAAAAACAAAACTCTATACTACATTCCATTTTGAAATAGTTAAGTATCTTCCCTTAGAGTAATAAATAAAGTCCAAAATACCGAATCAGGCCTTCAGGGCTTTGGAGGATCTTACTCTGCTTCCCCCTTTCGTGGATCTCCCCGCTGGCTGCAGGTGTTTTGAGGTGCTTTCTGTCTCAGCATTACACTTTCCCCTGTGTCTTCTGTACATGTTGTTCCTTCACCCGGCAGGAACCGTATCATGACTGATCAATTATTAACACTCGACTAGCCAGTTAGCCAGTGTCACCAACCAGTTAAGCCAAGGAAGAACATGTAACGCTACTTAACTGAATACATGCAAATAAAATAAGTGAGAAAATGGATGCCAGTCGTTTAAATTACCAAGAATGTATTTTGAAGAGGATTCTAAAAGTGAAATAAGTGCTCGTGAAGCAGTCAAGATACTCATTTCCATAGAGATACTCTTTCCAAAAACAAGCCAATTTTGTGGCTTAATTTTTCTTCAGAATATTGTTTTATTTCTTTTGAATGTATGAGTTTTTAGTGTCTTTCTCACTTTCTGTGGGATGGCTGGATTTTGAATTAGATAATTTTGAAGCAGATCCCAGCCATCACACCATTTCACCTACAAACAAGTATTTAAAATAACTCTAAAAATTTCTTTATTTTTAAACATAACTGCAATTCTATCATATCTGACATAAGTAAAATCAGTGTTCAGGTATCTCCTAAATTGTCTCATAAATGTTGACCAACTTGTTTGAATCAGGATCCAAATATGTCCCATGCATTGTGAATCCTTGATAATTCTCTTAAATTTCTTTTATTCAGTAAGTGCTCCCTTGGAGATAGTTTGTTGAATGGCTGGCTATTGTCCTTGTTGAGTACCCACAGTCTGGCTTTGTAGGCTGCATTTATCATATTCTCACCTAGAACCATTCCTTTTCCCTTGTAAATTCTGTAGTTTGTTCGTTATTTCTAGTAAATAGATTAAGACTTTTTCCTCTTAATTTTATTACTAAAAGTATTAAACATACACAAAAGTAGAGACAAAAGTATGAAACTCCATGTACCTATCCCCCAGCTTCAATAATTACTAAATCATGGCCCATGTTGTTTCATCCATACTCCGACTCGCTGCAGATTATTTAGAAACACATTCTAGGCATCAGATGTATATCTAATGACTTTAAAAAAAAAATCACAGCAGCATAGCTACAACTAAAATTTTATCATTTCTTAATGTTGTAAAGCAGTCACTGCTAAGATTACTGCAATTGCCTTATAATTGTTTTCCAGTTCATTTGAATTGAGTCAAAAGTTAATAAAATGTAACTGCTTGTTCGGTTATGAAGTTTAAAAATTGCGTGTTTAAAATTAATCTTTTTAAAATTGTGCAAAAATATTTACATGACTAGGCTCAAATCTACAAAACATGGTACTGTATACACAAAGACGTTCTACCTTTTGTTCATTAGTTTCCATTCTGAATCCTTTCCTGCCTTCAGAGATGATTCTTTTTTAAAATTTAAATTTAAATTGTATGGTTTCTCCTTCCACATGCTTGGTGCCGGTCACCCCTCCCCTCCGCCCGTACTCTGGACTTTGCTCCACCCTGGCACCTCTCCTGAGAGCTCACTCAGAACGGTCTTCCTCGTTGCTTTCCTTCCCTCCTCCCACTTCCTGCCTTGGCCGACCGCGCGGGCCGCACCTGCAGGACGCGTTTCCATTGGTGACATCTTGGCGGGCCCGTCGGTGGCACTTCCTCCTTTACACCCCGTGACCCACGTCCGGCTCGCCGCCCTCCCAGTCACGCGGCCTCTGCCTCCGGGACGCAGCCCCGCGCGCCGGCCTTCCGGACTCCAGGCCCCGGACCCGTCGTGGTGAGCCGCCGCGAGCGGACGACCCCCGCCCACACTCCCCCCAACCCCCGCGGGTCTCGGGAACTCTTCCCCACCTCTTTCCGCACAGCCGCCCCCTCTACCCCCGGAACTCTTCCCCCTCGCTGCCCCGGGAATTCCCCTCCCCCCCCCAACCCCACGGCCTCAGGAAGTCCCCCCGACCCGACCCGGGAGCTCCGCCCCCAGCCCGGGGAGGCGTCCGCCGACCTCGGGTCCCGCGAACCCTTCCTCGCCGCCCCTAGAAGCCCCTCTGACTCGGGAGCTCCGCCTCCCCCTTCCCCCCCCCTCGCGGTTCCAGGAAGCCCGGCCGGAGAACTCTTCCCCACCTCGGCGCCAATACTTCCCGCCTCCCTCTCCGTTCTAAAACCTCTTCCTGCTCCAGTGAGTCCCCCTGCCCCGGGAGCTCCCCTCCATCTCCGGGCTCGGGGAGCCTTAGGCTCTTGACCTCCTTCCCCTCCCCCCAACTCGCGCAGCCCGGGAAGCCTCTCCTCCCTACCCCCACCCGTAGCTCGCCCCGCCCCGGAAGCTCCCGCTGACCCCGCCCAGGCCCGGGGATGGGGCGCCCTGTTGTCGCGCGTTCCTGTAGGGCTTGGCCGACCGGAGACTGTCGGGTCGCCCGGTGGAGGCCGAGCGAACCCCTTCACCTTGTACCGGTGCCTCCGCCAGGAACCTGGTGTCTGGGACCCATACCGCGCTTCCCGCCGAAATCGCTCAGACGCGCCCCTGCCGGCCCGCGATTTTGAGAGCGCACTTTCAAGCCTCGTTTGAAGCGTTTCCCCACAGCCAGTTGAGTTTCAGTTTCAGGTTAATAACAAAAGGAGATGCACCTGGCCTTTCCCCGGAATCCTCTGCGTTTTTAAGCGTCGGGTGGAATTGGGGGTCCTTTGGCTGTGAACCGCGCTTGCTTCATGAAGATAGAAATCGGTCCTGCTCCTTTCAGCGGTAAGTCTTAGGGCCAAAGAGTCAACCGCGTAATCCTGAGGCCGGGTCTCACGCGGACTGTGGTTTAAGAGGTAGAACTTTCTGAGTGATTAAGACAGCCAGAACAGTCTTGAGTGCTGCCAGCTGTAGGTTAAAATTCATTTACAAATGAGGACGAAATGCTCTTCACGCCTCACTGGGACACAAATAAAGGGGGTGAAGCTGGGAACCCGCCGAAGAGAGACGGTGCGGGTGCAGTTTAAAGCGCCCTGTGTGCTCCCTAGAGAAACCTAATCAGCCGTGCGTTCAGGCGCACCCTGTTTATCTTGATTGGTCCACCTGGATCCGAACTAAATCCTGCCTAACCTGTATATTAGAGTGAGGAAGAGCACGTTCTGGAGACCGTCCCAGGAGTCCTGGGAGCCTGTTAGAAATGCTTAGTCTCGACCCCGGCCCAGATCTATTGTTTTAGGATCTGAATTTTAACAAGATCCTCGGGTGGTCCGTGTGCGCACTTACGTCATAGTCCAGTTGCGGGTGTGTGTGTGTGTGTGCGGGTGTGTGGCGCGCGCGTAAGATCCTTGGTTGTCCCCCCCGTTCGGTACCTTCAGTTCAGTCGGTCTCCAGTTGCAGCACCCGAGAGCAGTATTTTGTTAGCCGCCGCCAGCAGCGATTGCAGGGTGCTGCCGGGGAGGAGGGTGGGCGACCAGTGTTCCCCCGCAGCGCTTCAACTCTGTGTGCGACGCGGTTCTGTCTCGTGAGAATCGGCTTCCTTGCTTCTGGCCGCCCCCGAGTGTGCGTGCCCGAGGAGGCGCCTCAACCGTTAGTGTGCGGACCACACTGGAATGAGCCAGGAGCAGGGATAAACCTAGGCAGAAGGGGTTCTGCCCGTTAGGATGACTGGGTTCTACCCTTTAGATTTCACTCTTTTCTGGGGGCAGAGGAGAGGGACGGTTGATGAAGCCTCTTGAAAACCCTCTTATAGAGAATTTGAAACTGTTACTTCTTAAATTGTAATACTTCACATTTACATAGGTCTTTCCCCAAAAATAGTATCTCGTGTAATAATTACAGGAAGTTAATAAGGCAAGGCAGATATTACCTCTAAGACAGCAGGCTCAGAAATTAACTTGACTTTCTCAGTTTTACGTTTCTAAAACTAAGAATGTGCTTTAATTCTCAAACTAATTCGCTGGACCGTAAGTATTTTGGGGACAGCTTTGTCCTGTGGCTCTGGTTGATGGTACTGATGTTTTTCCTATTGAAAAGCATATTTCAACATTTCCTCCCCTCACTCTTCCTCATTTAAAAGATTAATGTTAGATCAAATACATTAGGTCTCAAGAAGTGAAGCTATCACATAAAACTGGGAAAGAAAGTCTTGAGTATCTCCAGCCAGTCCTCCGGGGATGCTTGTAAATTGTAAATACTGTTGGAACAGTCTCTAGCAAACCACCTTTCTCTGGAGCCCATCCCTGTGAAAATCTGGCCACGCCTCTGGCCTCCCGTGCGAGTCGGCGCCGCAGCTCCTCGCCCCCCGCCCGCCCGCGGCTTCCCGGAACCGCGCTGACATTGCCCCCTCTCCATCCCGGTAGTGCCCCTCCCGCCCTCGATATTTAAATTGCCTTAGCGCGCTCAGGTATTCGCGTATAGAACTCGCGTTTTGAGTACATTTCTCAGGGCAAGCGGGAGGGTTTCAGGCCGGTACTCTCGGCGTTGCCTTAGGAAAGAGGTAAAGCGTTTCAAAGCTGTGGGGGCTGGCGGCGGGCATGCACTTTCTTGAAGGCAGCCCCGCGGTTTTGTAAACGGCCTCCCACAGCCCGGGCTTTGGCTTTTCCGGAGGAAGGGAGCCTGGAGCCCATCCCAGCCCAGCCGGGGAACCGCTGGCTCTGCTCACTCTGGGAGTGCTGGGGCACTGCGGCAAGACGGCCTTATCGCTCTTTTTTAGGACAGTTCGTTACCTGCCTGGAGTGTCTTCGACTGTGGGCATCCCCCGCTGTTCTTTAAGGTGAGCTATTTTAAGAAAAGTAATTTCTCAGTTTATAATTGATTTACTTTATTGACACAGAACACTTTCTTGAGTGTGAAGTAAATTTTTTTTTCACTAGCTGTAAATCTAATGTTGAGCAGAACTCCAGCTTTCTTAACTTTCTCAAGTGTTAGTTAATGTTCTAAGTACTGTAAGTCTGCAAAGAGTCCAAATGTAGAGGATTCTGAGGGCAAAGATGAGGATATTGCATTACGTACATTAGAAGTATAGATAAGTGTTTTGGAAGAGTGCTCTCCTCACATTGCCTTCAGAGGAGAAGTCACTTTATTTTTGAAACACTATTTTCTGAAACAAAAAACATTTATAATTGTTTTATATTGGGCGTTTTAAGTAGTCCTTACATGAAATGTCTGTGTTCTTTTATGTTTCCTGTTTGTCTTTTTTTATTTTTTCCCCCTGCTTGTCTTTTTTAACCTAACCAGGCTGCCATATTCTAGAGAGTGGTGTTCACCCCACCTGACCATCAGTTAATCTCTTGCTAATCTTGGGCCTGCTGTGCTGGGGGTGGGACCACAGTGACCTCCGGAACAGATCAGCCTGTCCTTGCTAGGCTCTCTTGCATTTTTGAAGGGTTTTAAACAAATCATGAATTTGTTTCCCTAGAATGCTGTGGGATCATAGAACTGTAAGACTTAATTTGTGGAAGGGGAAGATTTTATGGGAAAGGTGGTATATTTGAGCTGAGACCTTAAGGATTAGTGGGATTTAGCTAGACAGAAGGTTGGGTGGAGTATATTTGGAGAGATAATTACCACATGTGTCACACCCAAGGCAGCAGAGAGCCTGGCACACTCCAGGCACAGAGAAATATAGGAATAAGAGGATGTATATTTTTTTAATGCAAGTGATGTGAGTGTGTGTTGCAGGTCAGAGCTGCAAGGCCTGAGCACCCCCTTAGCCCCGTGGTTTGTGTTCCAGGCAGTGGGAAGCCACTGAGGTCTTAGAACAGGAGAGTGACATAAAGTCACTTTAAAAGAGCTACAGATTAGGTTGCAGTAAGGGTAGGAAAAGTTTTAAGGATCAGATGTGAATGTGTCCTGGGAAGGGCTATTGGTACTGCGATTAGAAAGAAAGAGGAAGTGGAAAGGGATATGAGGGAAGTGCACAAAGATGATGATGACTTGATAATTCAAATCATAATGCCAAACAGTGTGCTAGGGACTGAGAAGAGATGTGAGAAACCTTTATTGCTTGTTGGAGTCAAGAGTTACTGAATAGAATTTAGGTATGGGTTAGCAATAGGATTAGGGTGGAGAATGGGATGACCCCCAAAGAAATGATGAGCTCATTGGATTTAAGGGCTTGGGAGTTGTTCAAGGATTACTTTAGTTTCATTCTAGAGCTTCTGGATGACAGGTAAGGCTGACCAGGGTGCTGCTATAGAAGAGTTACAGAAAAAAGGCTGTGTTCATTTGTGGTACATAGGTGGTACTATGGAGTAGAGTTTGTGTATACCAATCTTGGCCTCAGGGAGCCTGAAGCTGGGAACTTGGGTTCTGGAGCCCAGAATTGGCACTGGACATATATAAGGATCAGGTGAGGCTGCCTACAAAGCGGGGGTGGGGGGCATAAAAGAAAGAAGGGCCAGTGATTGCATACAGTTGAGCCTTGAGGAAGAGCTCAGAGGGGCAGAGTGCCTAAGGAATTAACAGGAAAACAAAGAGCCATGGGGAGAAAGGATTTCCAGAGAGAATGGTTAAATCCTGCTGTGGGAACTGAAAAGATGGAGGTAAAAAAATGTTCCTTTCTTGCCGTGGAGGTCCTTGGCAGAGTGAGATCATGCCCTTCTTTTTATGGTGGGGGTAGAGGCCTTTTGAGGATGAGATTTTACTGAAAGGGAAAGCAAATCAGCAAGTAGCTGGAGACAAACTTGGTATCAGGGAAGGGGTATATTACAGGGTTGGTTAGAAATGAGATAATCTCCTTAATTGATAAGGAAAATAGTGTTCTGTGAAGCATTTGTGAAGATGGGGATTTCTTGGGACAGGTGGAGTTGACGGAGCAGAGCCACAGATAACAAGCTCAGCTATGAGAAGAAGCAACTCCTTGTTTATAAATTTCTGAATCTTGTTCTAATTTGCTACACTGTGTCTCTATT